ATTCCTCCCCCCCATTTTCGGATCCACTCTTGCTCTCATCGTCGTCGTCATCACAATCAGAAACCAGAGCTTCAGTATCAGCTTCGAGTTCTTTTGCCCTTTTTATCTCTTCCGCGAGATCGAAGCCGCGAGCATGAATCTCCTCGAGAGTTTCCCTTCTGGATCGGCACTTAGCAAGTTCGGCGACCCAATGCGCTCGACTATCGGCGGATTCGATTGCCTCTCTTGCCTGGACTTGGGCAGCTTCAGCATCGGCCCGATAGACGGCCACGAGCGCATTTGCATCGGCCTTTGCCTTTTCAGCATCGGATTCGTCCTTGGCGAGTACAGAGGCCAACCGAACCTCAAGCTCCTCAATTCTTCTTGCTTGAACTAGGCCTTTTTCCTTCATTTTCTGAAGTTGGGTTTCAGACGATGATAACTGGGCTCGAGCAGTCTCTTTTTCTGCAGTAAAGCGGTCCATACCTTCTTTCCACCGCAAGGATTCCATCCTTATCACGTCGATCTCCTCACGAAGCTTCCTGATCGTCTCGATTTTTTGCTGCAGCTGTGAGACCGAAATGTTAGCTATCGTTCTGGTATCAAGCCCATAGGCTTTCAAAAGCACCATTACCTGCTCAGACAAATCATTCTGATCTCGATAAGCCTTGGCCAGCTCAGCTCGGAAGTCTTTTATTTCCTCCTCTCTCTTCCCTAAGGAAAGTCTAAGGAAGTTCCTCTCGTCAGTAGGGCGGTGTAGGTCGGTCGCATATCGATGCAGCTCATTCTGGGAACGAGAACATTGTTCTCGATGGACTGCCGCAACCTGCAAAGAAACAAGAAGCGAAGTTAACAAAAAACGAACATAAAGGCAGTACCGACATTTTTTTTAAAGGCTTACCTGATTCAAAGCCTGCCGCAATCCGTGAAAAAGATCTGATTCATCACCGGCACCGGCAACGTCCTCGATACCGGTAAACATGTCACGAAATGGATCTTCTTCATCGTGAGGCCTGTCTAGATTGAGGGCTCCCAGAGCTTAAGCTTTCCGAATCACCCCTGCGGAAAACGCGGGATAGATAGGCGAACCCTCGATCGCTGCTGCCCCAAATGACTCGCTTGGAGCATTCCCCTCGGCTCGGAGGGGTTCGAGGGGCTCTTCGATTGTAACCCCTGCCGGTTGACTCCGATGAGAGGCGTCTTCGACATCCGATAGTTCGGGGACTCTACCTGAATCTTTCTCTGGTATATCTTCAGTTCGAGGCGGAGCCCCATAGAGCATCGTCGATCCAGCCGGCGATGAGGCATCGGTGGCTCTCTTCGTTCGGACCGCCAGCGCGGACTCATTGTCCTCTTCTTCTTCATCATCTTCATCCCTTAGACGCAAAACGGATTTCACAGTCAAAGAAATGACATTCTTGTTCGGCTTACGATCCGTCCTCTTCTTTGGTTTTGGATATTCGGGAACCAAGGCTCTCTTCCTTTTATTTTCATTCACCGGCTTTGGGACAAAAGTCGAAACATCCTCCTTATTGGACAGAGGCCTCAAGACCGCGTCTTTACCCAAACCTGCATATGGGAAACCTTATAAAAAATATTTTGAGGAACGCCTCGTTCGGATCGTCAGAGTCCAAGAAATGAGCTTACCATGATTTTTGGACTCCCACCGACCCTCTGACAAATCACGCCATGAGCGGTCGGCGTATGTGGAGGTCGAAACCAGAGCCTGCACCCAGTTCTTGAGATCGGGAATCGCTCAGGGCATCCAGGGAACCGCTACATCACAAAAAGAGGAGTGTCGATAAGAGAATAAATGGAAGAACAAAATAGAAGCAACAGCAAGATCGCACTTACGTTTCATATTCCACTCCTCGGGAAAGGGCATCTTTTCAGTCGGGATCAGGTCCGAAGTCCTTATTCGAACGAACCTGCCCACCCAACCCCGGTCCCTGTCCTCGTCAATACTCGAGAACATAGCCTTGGTAGCCCGACGCTGGAGTTTTATTAACCCTCCTCGAAAAAGTAGGGGATGGTACAACCGGATAAGATGATCGAGGGTGAACGACATCCCCTCGATTTTGCTCACAAAATATCGGATCAGGATAACGATCCGCCACAAAGAAGGATGGACCTGGCCTAGGGTTACCTGATATTGTCGACAGAAGTCAATAATGACGGAATCGAGGGGACCCAAAGTGAAAGGGTAAGTATATACGTTCACCCTTTTCACGTGAGAAGTGATATCTTCGTCAGGGGTAGGTATTATTACTTCTTTTTCACCCCAATTGCAATCCTTCTTTAACAGATCGAGGTGCTTCTCGATTATCGAACACATGTACCTCGATACCGGCTCACACCGGCTAGGGACCGATGAACCTTTATCAACCTTAAAATCTGAAGTAAGGACGCACGCCCCGGGAACACACTCCTCAGGCCGTGGTTCTGCCGGTGCCCCATCGGTGACACACTGTGAAGATGAAGCCTTCTCTTTCTGAGGAATAGTTTGCGATGTTTTCGCCATTTTTGAATTCAAAAGTAAGAAATATAAGAAAGTGATAGAGATTTGGTAGAATTGAAGAGGGGTTTTTCGGAAAGAAATCACGGCTTTACTTGTAAGTCGGAGAGTATGAAGAAGAACTTGGGAAATTTTGGAAGATAGAAGATGTAAAAATGGTAAAAGATAAAAGTAAGGGTTACTTATAGGTTCAAACGATGGCGGTTCAGTATCAGCAGTGGCCGACCACCGCCTGACATGCATTAAATGCCTTGAAAGACTAAACCGATGGGACAACTACCAAATGCGTCATGGTCGAACCCGATGGAAACGACAAGATATAATCCGATCGAGCCGTTGAAAATCATATCGTTTCTCGCCATATTCTTTCTGAGAAACGAGGGGACTATCTGTATACGGTCGAAATAGATTTCAGCCTTGGCATGTACGGTATGATTCGAAGGGTGATGTATCGAAGTAAGATCCCGAAGGGGGGATGAACTAACCTCGAACTCGGGGAGGCCGGTCCGTGTCGATATCGATATCATAATCAAACTCGAACAAGAATCGAACCATGACGCAGGTAAACCTATCGTGCCGATAATCCAAAGATCAACCAACATTGACCTGGAATCAATTCGAGGGCTCGAACCAGGATCGAGCTCGCAGCAAGATCACAAGTTCGAGCAGAAATCAAGCTCGAACCAAAATCGAGGATTCTAAGCGAGATCGAGCTCGCAGACAAAAGCCGTTGTAATCCCACTAGAGGGAATCTTGGCAGAAATTATGGAAAAGCTGACTTATCATGAGTCTCCCACTGAATGTTTATTTTATTACGTTTGGAGCCGAATCCCTCCACTATAAAAGGGCTTGGTTATCATTTCTGTAGGATAGATTTTTTCTGAGACTTACATTGTAATGAAAGTATTATATTCCTCTACAATAAAGAATGGCTATTCCAGTTTCTTAGATTGATTCTATTTGTTGAATCCTAAGGTTCACTGTTCTTGATTGCCTTGTCTAGATTGCATTCTCTCCAATCTACATTCACATTTTATTTATCCTTGCATTTTGTATTAAGTTGCACCACATATCTTCGGAACTGCGTACAAATTCAACTCTATCTATTTTTCGGGTAAACATCTATATTAAAGGTTGAGGAAATATGTTTTCCAATAGACCTCCCGATCTAGAAAGATACGAGTCATAGGTCATAAGTCATAACTAGAGGGGCAATTAAGTAGATCAATAGCGTGTTGAACGTGCTAAATATGAGCAATATAAATATTGGATTGTAACTAAACCCGTTCAAAATTATATTTAAATCAAAATGGATTTGACAAATAATATGTTGGAATTGTTTACGACCTAATCCGTCCGATTTTGTAGTGGTCATAGTGTCAGTTTCTAAATAGTATATATGCACTATTGTCTAGAGGTTTCTCAGTTTTCTATTGTTTCTTTATTGAAAAATTAACTTTTGATGTTGCTATTAGTTTAGTGGACGCAAGAATTGTGAAATTCCGAAAAAAAGTATGAAAAAAAAATTCAAAGTGAAAATGATATTTGGCAATTAGAGTTATTTTTTGACATGAATACAATTTGTTGTTTCTGAATTTTGTGAGTGCTTTAAAGTAAATTTTGAAAAATAAACTTTTTGGTGTTTTTTTAAATTTTCAAAAAATTCCGAAACTTAATTTCATGGCCAGATATTGATTTTTAAAAAAATTAAAAATTTCCTGAAAAAAGCTTTTTTTTTATGGCCAAACGGGCCCTTACATAGCGTATTATTTTTTTTTTTTTTTTTAGGTTAATTCCTCTAATCCCTTGAAGATTGAAGATATATACCGCTTGTTTGAGAAGCTAATGTTAATTTTCCATACTTCCAGTCACAAAGCCAGGATTGACAAATGTAGTCCCACCTTATGGGAGCTTAAAAGTGTAATTGGAAAGTAAAGACACTACATTTCAAGTCCTAATGTCATTAGCTTTCAATTTTAGTAATCACTTATATTCAGTTGAATCTTTCCTATTGCAAACCACAGCAAATGATCACAATTCACATGCTTCCAACTTCCAAGTACCTACCTTTTATGAACTTCATGACTTCTTGTACATCACACACCCTATGTGTGTATATGTGTATATTCTTACTAATATAACCATCTTATCCTTGTCTTGGTACTCCCAGTCCTCTGTTTGGGTTGTAAAGAGTATGAGCTTGGTTAAGCACAACTTATCTTAGTTCTGGAAAATGCTTCCCAAATTATAACTGTCACATTTTCTTGATAAGTTTTTACCACAGCTAAAGCAACATCTGAGATTATTATGGTAGTCTAGGTCCTTTAAGACTTTGTTAATTGCTCTCCACAAGTTTTGCGATATATATCAACAGTCCTATTGAACATGTATAGCATTTATATCATGGGAAATTTCAAGTTTACAGCTCAACCCATGATCAAATCCAGACCTAAACAGGCAGGAAAAAGCAAAATATTATGCCAAGCCGATAAGTGCCAAACATCTCGAAGTAGAAGCTAAAAGAAATGAAGCAAATGTGATTGAACATAACAAGGTGAAAACAAAGTTATATCATCTATTTCAAAAATCAAATAAACTATATTTTTAGTATATAGGGGAAAAGGTGAAAACAAGTAGGTAGAAAGTATCAATAATTACCAAACTTCTAATTTTATCTCCACTCAACCGGAGTGGAACTTAGTTATACCTGCACATGGAAACCTTTGCAATCATGAGAGAGGCGAAATTCGTATTGGCTGCAGACGCCCAATTGGATCAAAGTCTAGTGCATGCACCATTGGTTATACCCAGTTCAACGCAGAATGAACTGAGGTCAGCTTCCCCTAACAGGCTAAATGCGCAAAAGCCATAGTAGGCGTGATAAAGATCTGGCAGCTGCTCCGGAATTTTACCAAAACCACCATACTGTAGAACAAAAAAGAGGATATAAGTTTTAGTACCCGAAAATTCTTCCATGGAAATGCCTGAATTAGTTGGTGAAAATATCTACAAGCAAACCACGACTATGATGGTAGACAAATATTGGAAATGAAACAGTTTTAACAATCCGTAGCAATGAGGTTACAGTGGTTTCTTCCTGATAAAAGTTCTTGGACATCATATAATAGTAAGGGCATACGACCCGAAAAAAAATTGGAAGCTCTAGAACTGCAGTTGCATGTAAAAGCATGTGCAAAGAAGACGGAAAAGAAAGAGGAGAAGTCATAGCACCTGGGATTGACAGGCGAAAAGAAATTTACGTAAACCTCCATAATTGATGAACTTGTGAGCCCCTAAGATCTTTAGAACTCCTCCAACCCTGAACAAGGGCGTCAATTTGTCAAGCCAGAAGAAACAGAAGTGATGACAGTTGAAGATAAAAAGCTATTTGAACTCACCAAAAAGCATAGCAGGTGTCAGTAGCTTTGTTTGGTCTACCTTGGAAACCACCATCAGTGGCCTGTCTCTGCGAGAAAGCAAGATTGTGTCACACCAATTGCAGGACAGTAGATCATATCGACCATTATCAAAGGACCGGATATGAGGAATGGACTTGTACAAATAATCATCCCTTTTTTTCTTCTCCTATATCCTTACATTGTTCGGTTGTTCCACGTTACAATTTTTTTTGGTTATAATCATTCGCTATTTTGGAACTTTCCGGGAGTCGTTGTGACTTTGGGTATTGTAGGCGGATTAGAGTTGATGAAGTTGAGGGGGCTATGTATGATGAGTAGGGGCAAAGCAACCGGGCCGGATGAAATCCCGGTGGAGTTTTGGAAGAGTGCGGGCAAGGCAGGCTTGGAGTGGCTCACTAGGTTATTTAATGTCATTTTTAGAACGAAGAAGATGCCCGAAGAGTGGAAGTGGAGCACGATGATTCCTGTATACAAGAACAAGGGTGATATCCAAAATTGCAATAACTATCGGGGTATCAAGCTGCTTAGCCATACTATGAAAGTCTGGGAGAGAGTGGTAGAGCTAATGATGAGGAGGAGTGTGTCTATTTTTGAGANGTTTGGGTTTATGCAAGGGCGTTCGACTACAGAAGCCATCCACCTTGTTAGGAGATTGATGGAGCAGTATAGGGAGAGAAAGAAGGACTTGTATATGGTGTTCATCGACTTAGAAAAGACGTACGATAAAGTTCCGAGGGAGGTTTTGTGGAGATGCTTGGAGGCTAGAGGTGTACCTGTTGCCTACGTTAGGTTGATTAAGGACATGCATGGTGGAGTAAAGACTCGAGTGAGGACGATGGGTGAGGACTCAGACCATTTTCCGGTTATGATGGGGTTGCATCAGAGGTCGGCACTCAACTCTTTTTTGTTTGCTCTGGTGATGGATGTACTGACGCGCCACATCCAAGGGGAGGTGTCGTGGTGCATGCTATTTGCAGACGATATTGTATAGATTGACTAGACGCGAGGCGGTGTGAACGCGCAATTAGAGGTATGGAGGCAGACCCTGGAATCTAAATGTTTTAAGTTGAGCAGGACCAAGACAGAATACTTGGAATGTAAGTTCAGTGGCGAGACTCAGGGGGGAAGGGGAGGTGAGGGTGGACTCGCAGGTCATCCCTAGGAGAGGGAGTTTTAAGTACCTTGGGTCTATTATTTAGGGGATGGGGAGATTGATGAAGATGTCACGCATCGTATTGGGGCGAGATGGATGAAATGGAGACTCGCTTCCGGTGTTTTATGTGACAAGAAGGTGCTACCAAAACTTAAGGGTAAATTCTACAAAGTGGTGGTCAGACCAACGATGTTGTATGACGCTGAGTGTTGGCCAGTCAAGATCGCTCATGTCCAGAAGATGAAGGTAGCAGAGATGAGGATGTTGAGATGGATGTGCGGCCACACCAGATTAGATAGGATCAGAAATGAGGTTATTCGCGACAAGGTGGGTGTGACCCCTATTGAGGACAATATGCGAGAAGCGCGGCTTAGACGATTTGGTCATGTGAAGAGGAGGAGCACAGACGCCCCGGTGAGAAGGTGTGAGAGGTTGACATTGGAAGGCCTACGGAGAGGTAGAGGTAGGCCAAAGAAGAGGTGGGGAGAGGTGATTAGGCAAGACATGGCGCAGCTTCAGCTGACCGAGGACATGACCCTTGAAAGGAAGGTATGGAGGTCAAGGATTAGGGCAGTAGAGTAGGTAGTCTAGAGTGTTCATAACAGTAGTATTGGCACGCAGTCTCGCTTTCTGTGGGCAGTAGGTTTTTATGACTAACCACTGTTTTCTTTCATTGTTGATTACCTTAATATCTTTTTGTTTTTATTCTGCTTTTATATGGCTTTTTGGTACTGTCCCTTCTTGTCTATATTTTCATTAATGTGGTGCTTATACTTTCCTGAGCCAAGAGTCTATTGAAAACAACCTCTGTATCCTCACAAGGTAGGGGTAAGGTCTGCGTACACATTACCCTCCCCAGATCCCACGGTGTGGATAAGACTGAGTATGTTGTTGTTGTAATCATTAGCTATTTTAAAATTGTTATATTTATTCTTTGGAGGAATACTGAAAAACATGCCTAACATAGCAATATAAGAACCTGTCACACCCTATTCAAAGAAATTATACCTGTAAACTCCAGTCTAGAAGCATGGGCACATTTATGAAGCAAGAGGATACACTCTTCGACAATATATCATCTTCAATTAATCCCATCAATTTGAGAGAAGCAACCGCACAATAAGTGGCACCACCTGTGATACTAAACAATCACCATCTATGAGAAATATCATATTACCACGTAAGAAAACTAAAAGTTGATTTAAGAGCATGCTACCACATTGCACTTTCAACTTTCTGTTAAAAAACAACAATAATAATAACGACCCAGTGAAATCCCACAAGTGGGGTCTGGGGAGGGTAGTGTGTACGCACACCTTACCCCTACCCCTACCCCGAGGGGGTAGAGAGGCTGTTTCCGAAAGACCCTCGGCTCAAGAAGACAAAAGAAAGACGAAAATAGGCAATATATCAGTACCATCAATAGAAACCATAGAACAAAGAGCAGCATCACCATAACCAGAAAATAAGTGAAGCAAAACAATAACCAGTAGTTAAAGCATAGCACTAAGAGGAACGAAAGAGTAGTGTGAACTCAACGTTAACCACTAACGGTCTAAGACCAAGTCTTAACAGACTAGCCTCAATCTGGAGCATCGACCAAGTCTTAACAGACTAGCCTCACTCTGGAGCACCGTAGAGATATGACAGAACTATAAGAACAAAGAACTAACTTTCTGAAGACAGAAACATTCATTTGGAGCCCCTTTTTTACTTTTTCCCACCCCGTGTGGCTCAAAACAGAGACAAAACAATAGCCACTCTATAAATCTGATAACTACGAATATTGACAGGGTTTTCCACAACTGAAACTAAATATAGACGGATAATAGATTGATTGCAACACAACCATCATTCACTTATACCACTTTAAAGTTACCCCAAGTAGAAAAAAAGAAAAGAAGATCACAACAGAGATATGAAAGATAAGCAGTTCAAGATATTCAAAACTATGTGATCTGATTGATAGGCTGCCGGCAGAAGGAAACATTCGAAGATATGCTCATCTGTTTCATTTTTCCCCTTTTGGCAAGCTGGATTGGACGATGTTTCTGGAGTTCAAGAAGGAAGATGAGTAAGCAGATTGCCTACGTCCTCACATTGAATGATACACATACGTTTCAGCTAACGGAAGGGGGCCATAACTGCTTGCCCGATATCCGTTAATTCTATCACCCATTTTATTTTTTCTCAAATAAACTTGCAACGGTTTATTTGTGCAGCTCTCCC